TAACTCTCACAAATCACGGTGAGACTTGTTTGAGTGTATGATCAATTTATTAATTAGCAAGAAGTGGCAATAAGCAAAACAGCGCTGGGTGGCCCGGGAGCCTCTGCTCCACCGACGGCACACACCGGTTGGCAAAGCACATCAGGTTATGTACAGAAAAATCATACATATTCATCAGATTTCTTGGAAAGGTGGTCTTATGGTGATGAGTTTCCGGAATTCATTTACTTAGTCCAAGCATGCGCAGTAAAATTGGGGTTAGGGTCTTTTCACACTCCGGTGGTCGTCCATAGTCTTCCTCACTCTGTTCTCTGGTTGAACTTTGGGCTTCTTTTGTCCATATATAGTCATTGAATTAGCTGATCAGCCCTTTGACTCTGGAATGTTACAAGGGGTCAGTTTGACTAGTTTTCTAAACACTTATCTTGACACAGTCTTCCTGAGTTTTTGTTATCAGTGATTCACACCGGGGGCCTAATGAGCTATCTCAAGGTCTTGTAGATTCTGGTCAGATAAGAATTTACATGTCTCTACTAAATCACTAAAACTATGCAAGTGAAGCTGAGAAATATCACAGCAAGGTTTTAGTCGGGGATTGTCAGGGATTTAACCCTTTCATTTCCCCCATTTCTCTAAAATTTGTAAATTCCTTTATAAATATTCTGAGTTATCATATTTCATTCAGTTTTCTTAGCTTATACCACAACTTTTTCCGTAGGTTTGTTAATAAAATCAATATAAAAATACATATAATTTTACCGATTGCCTGCCTCTTTGGTGGGCAGGGGAACAGGGAACTATTCAGATCCAGGGCAGTTCAGTACATGATTTTTTTCATGGACATAGAGCAGTTAGAGTGCTGTCAGCCTCATTTAGGAAAAGCCCTTGAGCATCACTGTTGCTCAGGTGGCTGGAGCTACAGCACCTCACCCGAGATTGCAGAGCCTGAAGTACTCTTTCGGGGTTATCCGCTGCCTTTTTCCTTCAAAAGGGTGGTAGAGTCAGATGCCTCCGGTGTCACCAGAGATGTATGTCCTTCCTCCAGCATGCACAGGACCAGTACAGGGGGAGGGTAGCACAGAGCGCATCAAGTGTACATGAGGAGGAGTGTACTAACAGCGAATATGTGTGAGTGGCTTCCCTTGCGTAGGAGAAGGCTCAAGACTATTGAAAATGTTGGTTTAGGTGCCGAAGCCAGGGGACCAGGAAGTCTGTGAGGCCAGTAGGAGGCATCGGGACAAATGCTGTAAATATGCTATTAAAATTTGCAGTTCTCCAACTGCAGCAGGTCCCTCCTCTCCGAGATATTTTGGTCCCTAACCAGGCTCGTGTGCTTCACAGGAGGGAGCAATTTGCTTGTATTTAAGACACCGAATGGAATTATCCCTGCTCCTGCCATTAACCTATATTTCTTCATGAGACATTATAGCTTTTGGTGGATCTTTTTTGCTGGTAGTTTACAAAGGTGCTTCATCACCACATGATGCGCAGAGGCATGAAGGCTCTTGCCAGGCTTTCTAGGTGCTTCTGCTAACACAGTTTAACGGATGAACAACATGACCTACATCTCCTGTCCATGTTCTTCCAGTGCTCTTGAAGAAACTTAGGTCTAGATGGCATTACAGCTGCCTCCCTCCCCTTGATATCTTACAATTTAAACAGTTTGAACAGCTCCAATTTCTTATTAAACATCTAAGAAAGCAACGAAGTTGGTTATATGCACCTTGAATCAATTTTGCTGTCATGCAAATAACATGCAATACGCCTGAGATGGTTTCCTACCCAAAGCAGGGAGGCCAAATGAGTTACGGTTCTCAGTAAAACTCAGTTTGCTGGAAATCCTGAAAAAGCTTGAAACAAGTTATTTCAGTTGGACTTTCAGTTAACCTCCATATTTTCTGTTTTCCTTTAAAAGGTCTGCTGCTGGTTCTGCAGGCATTTTATTCTTTAATATTAAAGGATTTTATTTAGTCCTTTCTTTAGCATTAGAGTTATTTAGAATTATTGAGTATGCAAAGTAAGGAAATAGAATGAGCCAGTTGATGGGTGGATTAAGGAAAGATACCAGAAAAGAGAATATTAGGTGGCGCCTAGCTAGAGGTCACCAAGTTTTCACTTTTGCTGGGTCCACCCTGGCAGAGAAAAGTAGATGGTAGGGGAGAGATGTAATTTGATAAACTACATCCCCCAGGATTTGCCAGATCTCCTGTAAAAGAGCAGATTGTCACTGAACTTCGTGACAGTTTGCATGGACATTGAGAGGAAAATTGACCCTAGCATGCTAATCACAGCATGCTACATGGGTGTCTACTGACAGTAAAAATACCACCCTTTCTATACTGGGTTTAACATTGCTGTGAGCAGTTGCGAAGGCTTAGGAGAGCTGTCAAGCTGTGTTTGCTGACAGCTGTTTCTCCATCCTGCCAAGCTGTGTTGGGGCAGCCACATCTGGGGCTGGACGTCGCCGAGGAGCCCGGCTGTCCGGTGGGGTGATAGTGCCCATCTCCCTGGCACGCACGGGAGATGGACAGAGCGATGGGAGCCGTGCACAGGCAGGCTCGGGTCTCCTGCTAGCCAAGCTAAAAGAGAAGCAGGTGCACTTACAAAGGTGAGTAACAGCTCCAGTTAAACCTATTCAAGAGTTTGCAGCCATCAACTTTTGCTGAAAGATGAAGTCTTGGAGATGGAGGTATTTCGCTGCAGGATGCATGTAGTCTTTCTTCCACACAAACTCATGGCCTTTTAAACTTAGTACATCACTGCCTGGGATCACTCCTGACATCCATAAACCGTCTGTCCCACTGGCTGTCCACCACTCCAGCTGTCACTTGGGTGTCCCCTCTTGGACCACAGACTGATGCATTTGCCAATGGGCCAAGGCTTTTACCCTTTTAAAATCCACTGAATCACGAAATACACTGTGCTTTCAGAGCCTCTGTGGAAGTTTTTCTTTGCCAGCACAAGAGCAAACACTGCTTTTGGAAAGCAACTGGGACCTTTTGACATCTGAGTTGTAAGGGAAGTTAAACCAAGTCAATGGGTCGGTTGCATTTCCCAGTGGATAGTCTTTAATTTCCTCCATGATTTAAAAGATAGTTTGAAAGCAGCTAAGCTCAAATAAAGGAAATGAGAGAGTAACTGGCAGTGTTACAAGGCTGTTGATTTCCCTAGACAAGTTTGTGGTAATTTTCTAGGCATTTAAGAGATTTTCCTTTCTCCTAAATTTACATTGTTTTTAAAATATACAATGTGGAAAACACAGTATTGTAGTAATAGAAAATCCTGCAGTTCTGCCACCACATCATGCTCTCAGGACCACCGTTTTCTTAATTCAGTAACAAGTTAAAGGTGACATACAGTAAGGAGAAAAATATCACTGGCCATTTTTTGAGGAGAGATGAGCTCAGATTAGTTTCCTCCCATCTCCTCCCCATCCCAAATTTTTCCCAGTTAAGAAAAGCCTCTGTACCCGAAGGAAGGAGCTTCCTGCCCTTCCTCTTGTCCTGAGGCTCTTCCTGTACCCAGAGATGCCGTCGTGGCAGCCACTTGTGGCTTCTCAGTTGTGAAACACCACTAATGAGAGCAATTTGTAATTATTTCTGGTTGCCCTTGGGATCTCCTGGAAGGTTTGTAATTCTCCCGTGGCACTTTTCCCTAACCCTGTTTCATTTCATTTGCAAGACTGTCCTATGGAGCTCAGTGTCACTGGACTAGACTTTTCTTTTTAAAAAGGTCCTCTAGCTCTGGTGAGAAGTTGTGATGTGTTTTCAGAATGACCTTTGTTAAGACAAGTGCCCCATTAAAAATAGAGTAGTATAACTTGTCAGTTCAGAGTACATACACAGTCAGCCTTGTACTCAGCTGATGGGAACTTGGGGTCATGTCTGCCATTTGAGACATTTTTTGGCAAGTCCAGGAAAAGTTATCACCCTCCTTCCCATCCTGGTATTTAAAAGTTGCAGCTACATAAGCATTTGTGCAAAAAATCCATGTGCACTAATCTTGGCCCAGGGTTGACTCTGGCCTGCAACCAGGCAGACAGCCTTGGCAGGCAGCTTCACAAGCTGCAGTACTGTAGGGGAAGCTCCAGCAGGGAAACTAACCATACACGCCAGCATGTGCAAATGGTTGCTTTAAAAGCAAGTCATAGAATCATTAAGGTTGGAAAAGACCGCTAAGATCATCGAGTCCAACCGTCAACCCAACACCACTATGCCCACTAAACCATGTCCCTAAGTGCCTCATCTACACATCTTTTGAATACTTCCAGGGATGGTGACTCAACCACTTCCCTGGGCAGCCT